CTTTTATTACCTCTCAGGTCATGGAGGCATCAATCAGCTCGGAGGAGTCTTCGTGAATGGTCGCCCTCTGCCCGATCAAGTGAGGCATCAGATCGTCGAGTTGGCCAATCAAAACGTCAGACCCTGTGACATCAGCCGACAGCTCCGCGTCTCCCATGGTTGCGTCAGCAAGATACTAGGAAGGTTCGCTGAAGCTATGTACCCTGATGCAAGCATAAACTATTTTTTCGCTGTTACCAATTTAGAATATAGGCCTTTTAAAATAACTCCTCTCTCTATTAGCAAGTTAGTCAGTAGTATCAGTATTAATCCCTAAGTTTAATAAAACAGATTATGTCGTATAAAATACTTTCGACCAACAGTAATAATCCGATTAGAAAATGCTTTTGACAAGAGCATGTTTGCCTGGTGCTAATATGAATGAAGGAAGCCACACTTTTATTTGATATGTTTCATCTACTTTTTCCTCTGAATAAAGTTTATTAAGAAATAGTTTTTGGCGGAACTGCCCTTTACTCTGATTATATCATCTTCAAACACATTCTTGGGTAACTATTCTCACTAATTTTAACCAAAATCCATCAGATATTATGAGACTGGCAGCATCCGACCTGGAGTCATTGGCGGCTCCAAGCCAAAGGTGGCCACTGTGACGGTGGTTGACGCAATCTGCAAATACAAAACTGAGAGCCCGACCATGTTCGCATGGGAGATTCGGGATCGCCTACTAAAGGACAGTGTATGCAGTGGAGATAACGTGCCGTCTGTTTCTTCCATCAACCGAATCGTGAGGAACAAGGTAGGCAACTGCGAATGGGTCTGTGTATGCACCATTAGTGACTATGGACAAACACACAATGCACACAAATCTAGGTTGAACGCTAATATACAATATCACATTTTATTTTACTGCACATTGACAAACATATTTTATAATGGCATTCTAGATAGTTTTTATTTATAAGCAGAGTTTTTAGACTACCAGTAAATCGGTGATATGAGATGTATTCACCCAATTTCGTTTAAGGTGAGGAAGGACTGGTAGAAGAAGAATTTTCCCACAAT